GTAGAGAATTCGAGAATTGTCCACTCCTCCCTTTTCTCCCATTAATTAAGTTATTAATTACATCGTATCGAGATGTAATACTCTCGTTTTATTAAATCGAACATTTTTTCTCTACTACTGAATTTTACCTTCTGCTTGAATATCTCTAGAAAAAAAAAAAAAAATTATCGCAATCATGTATACGATCACTTCGATTTAACTTTTATCCCGAGGAAATAGTAGTTTTTCAATTACATTGTTTCTAATTTAAAAAAAAACTCATTGAATCGGAGGAGAAGAATCGTTGACTCGTTTTGCGAGCAGACAGGGCTTGGACAACTGGCTCGAAGAGTCCTCGAACGCGCTTATCGCTCATTGTCACCCTGTTTCCCTACACAGGATCGTACATCGCTCGCATTGGACGCCAACTTTCGATCGGATCTATCCGACACGATAACGATTTCCTCCTCGATGCAACCGGTGGTCCATTGAAATCGTATATATATATATATATATCGGCGCAATCACTTTCGCGACCATCCTGTGTTCGTCACGCAGCCACGTCGATATTCAATCGAGACGGCCGTGATATCGAGTAGATTGAATCGCGACATTGGCTTAACGTCGATTTCCCTTGTCCCTTCTCCTCGTGAACGAACATTCCGGGATGGAACACGCGTTGGAAAAATGAAAAAGGTAAAAAAATAATCCTCTCGAAATATATATATATTTCGGGAGAAGATTCGTTCGTTTTTCGCGTGGATGTGTTGGATGAAGTGAAAACTGAAACGGAACTGTTTTAACCGGATGGAGAAGAAGAGAGGAGGCGAGATACGAGATCTTGTAATTATTTCGAAATTAATTTGCGCCCGGGTTGGAAAGGAGGAATCGTTAAATACGCTCGTTTCCTGTGTATCCGGTTTTCAGAGAGTTATTGAATTGGAATGAGCTCTCTGGTAACGTTATTTCGTAGGGAATCGTGGTCACGTTCCGGAATAGTTGTAACTTCGTGTCGCGGTTGTTTGCTCCTGTATAGTTAATTTTGGATTAGTGGTGATCAAGGAGAATCGGTAGCTAAACTACGGATATAATCGTATCTGGATTATTATTACATATTACAGCTAGTGTATGTCCATATTCTGTAATCGAAAGATTATGTGTTTGTACGGATCGCCTTTGGAATGAAATGTTCTTTCTTTCCAAGTTGCGTGAAGTAAGTAGAGGAGCGAGATAAAGAGAAATTGAGAATTGGTATTATGTGTCCGCAAATAGAAGCCTCTTTTTATGTTTATTTTAATAATGTAGAGGGATAACGTTACCGATTTAAAGAGGGTGTATATATAACAAGAACGATTCTCGTTTTATTTAAATGAGGTCTGTTACAACAAATTCATGAGTTGATCGAATATTGCAATCCAGCAAATAGTTGGAGATAATATTGTGGTGTGTGCAGTATGTGTACGATTATTATTTTGTCGAAGAGAAAAATAAAATAATATCAATTTTGTTGTGAAGTATTAAATGATTTTTGTTGATTGAATTATATATAATATTATAGACGGAACGGAATAAAAAAGATATTCTTTCGAAAAATCCGATTTTATTCGATTAAAATTAGAAAAAATTTAAACCGTTATAACTCGGAAGATAGTGGTTTCCGGTCAACGAATCAAAGATCGTTAGAAGCGGGGAATCTTGCTCTTTGAAACCTTTTTTTATTTATCTCGATACGACTTCCGGTTCCCGAGATATCGTCGTTCGAAGCAAAGGGTAATTTTTAAACTCTATTAAAATTAGGAAAACTTTGAGCCGACGTAACTCGGAAGATAGGGACTTCCGGTCAACGAACGGAAGGCCGTTAGAAGCGGGAAACCTTGCTCTTTGAAACCCTTTTTCGTTTATCCCGATACAACTTCCGGTTGCCGAGATATCGTCGTGTAAAGGAAAGGGTAATTTTTAATCGTTTACTATCTCCTTCCTCGTCGTTTATTCGGAACTCTCGCTCGCACCTCGTCTCCCTGACCTATCCCAAACTGCCGACAAGCGGCAGACGCGATTCCTAGAAAAACGTAGTACGCGTTTCCAGGAAGAAATGTAGGTCACGAGTCCATTCATAATTTTCGCGCTATGTTGAACGCTATGGACACTTTGAGTCCTTATATCTCGGCAACGGATCGAGATATCGGGATGAACCAAAAAGGGACTTCAACGGCATGGTTTCCCTTATTTCCTGAATAGATTTTGATAACAAAATTGTTAATTTATTCTCGCGCTTTTTTTACGTGAAAAATCAAAGTTTCATTTGTCACGAACACGCGTATGATCCATTATTGCAATACGGACTATGTAAGGATATAATTTTATTGAGAGGAACGAAAATAATGGAGATTATTATTTTAAATTATTGTTTTGTATATCCTCTTATTTTCGATGCACGTACATTTTTATCGAGGCGAAATTATATTGTATCTCGAACATTTCGAATCGATGGAATATCCTCTCAACGAGGATCGCACAGTTGCAGTGAGAGACGCAAAAAGGGGGACACTTGTTGCGGATAGAATATAATTTCCTTTCATGTTACATCATAATTAAAGTTTCTACCTTTCAAATCATATTTTCCAGAATCGAGCCAGCCCATCATTATCGTGTAGTAGCATTATCGTTATAAAAGGCGCTTATTTCCCCCTCAAGAAAACCGATTATGCGCTCGCTCCCCGAGAGGAAACGAAGACAAAACGTATCTGAGTAGTAATGGCGGCCCGAAGACGAGACTGAATAACAGATTTGTCCAGGGAGCATCCAATATTTGCGTATTCGGGTCGCGTATTCGTAACGATCCTCTGTCTGGACGTGTTAATTTTTTCCCCTCGCCGCTTCCTCCAGGGAGGCAGCTGACAAGAAAGAAGGCGCGGAACGTGAAAGAAGATTCAGAGGCTTCGCCCCAGCTCCCTTTTCGGGATTGTAATCCCGTGAAAAAAAAAGAAACGTACAGCCCGAAAGCCGAAGGATATCTTGAGGATTTTACGGTTAACAAAGTTCTCGTGGGGAGGAAGGGGAAGGAAAGGAGGTTTCAGTTGAAATAAAAACCTGTATAAACGCGATTCCATAGTTTTTACGATTATTCATGGCCGTATCCTGGCCGTATTTAACCGCGAATAATAGAAAACTTTAGGAAACGGGGGCGGAAGAAAGTGGCCACCTGGTTCGCTGTTAAAGCGTACACTATAGGTACTAAAGGATTCATAAAATATTAAATCTCCTGCAAAATTGTATCGTTTTCAACCGTGTGGCCCATACCCTTCCAGTTTGTACCCTCCCTGTTACGATTAACGATATTGTCGATTTCTCCTCTTTTACGGGGGGATCTCTTCCCATCTTTCGAATAATTTCGTTTTATGGAGTTTTCTTTTATGCAAAAAAAATTCTAAAATTTCTAAAAATCGTTCGTACGTCGGACGTGGACGGATTATTCTTAAAGTATATCGTTACTTTTAAAAAGTCATTATCGTTAGTGCAAACGATATATCATACTTTGTTACTAAAAAAAAAATACAAAAAAAAGTTCTTCGAGTTCTAATAAAGATACATTTCAAGATCAAGCGAGATCCTTTATTATTCGAGTAAAACTGTAATAAAAAAAAATAAAAAAACAAAAACGCGTGAAAAACAACGCGAACTTTCAACGTATCTAATAATAAAACAGGAAAGCTTTCTTCGTTAAACGAAGAGTCAGAGAACACAGAAAGTTTGTAAAACTTGTGTAAATTCACTTCGTGGAAAGATGAATGAAATTAACTTTGTCGGGGGGCAAGTTTTTAAATTTGAAATTTTCCAGCAAAAGTGTTTCGCGTTTCCTCGCGAAATTGACAAATTGACAAATTCTTCATCTTCGAAGATTCCGCGATTTAAATTCGCTACAAAAGATAGAATAACGTTCGCTTCGAAAGAGAGCGAGTTACTCGGTTAGTTGCATCTGTGATTTAAAAATGGGGAGGGAGGGATGTTTTCGCCATTTTAACGAAAACATTGTAGCAGAATCACCGTCAATTCTCTTCCGAAAACTTTCAATCAGCGAACTCGGGGGAATAAAAAAGAAAATCTTGGATCGATCATAGATTCTCTTGCCTTGTTGGCAAACATCGTCGATCGATTTCTCCGCCGCCTGTTCTTTCGTTCGACGAGGAGGATTTCGGAAGCGGCAGGAAAACTCGTTAAAACTCGATCACGGAAACGAAAGAGGATGTGTATGCGTGCGTGCGCACGAGTGCGATAAAATTCATTGAGATAAAAATAAGCGCGTTGAAATAAATATTCATAAGCCTGTACGAGTTTTACATTATTCATATTTATCGATGATTATCAACACGTATGAAATCTCGCGAACACTCGTCGATAATTAAATTCACGTTTTCTTTTTCTTCTTCTTCCGATGAATAAAGATACGAAACGAATTCTTTCTTTTTCTCTTTTCTTTTTTCCAATAGTTTTATGATCAGATCGATTATGATTTAATAAAATTGAAAAAGAAGGACAAAACTCTTCGCTGTTACGTTGCAAAATTTACAATTTTCCAGCCAGGCTTAGAGGAAACAGCTTACAGCAGGAAGGAAGGAGTGATGTAAAAACTGAACCAGAGGGTGGAGCTTAAACGAGCTCAACTCTGAATAATTTGCGTATACGGGCGAAAAGCATATACAGATAAACTATAGTTAGGAAGAAAAACAGCTCCTTCCTTCCTAGACTTTGCCTCGTCATTTTTAAATTTTTCCCTCCCTCGCCTTTTTAATCCCTTCGAAGGAGTTACGAAGATCTCACGAGATTGTTGAACATATTTGCGTAATTACCGTAATCTACTATCATTTATTCCTCAAACCATCAATTTTCCTTATCCTTCCTCATCCTTCACCCGTGCGAAATAATTCTGTGGAATTATCGAGAATAAAAAAAAGAAAATATAAATGTAAATGTTGATCGAACCCGCAATTTTTTTTTCTTCTTTTTTTTTTTTTCATTCGCAGGAGACCTGTTCGTGGTGGTGTTCAGTTTGGATTGTCGAGAATCGTTCGAGGAGGCCATCAGACTGCGTGAATCGATCCTGGAAACTAAAGTAAGCGCGACCCAAAGTGCAACGAAGAGCAGGAGCAAGAGTCACTTCAATTTGAAGGTTCCTATGGTCATCGTCGGAAATAAATGTGATAAAGATACGAAGTACGTCATCGTTTCACATCGTGCTGTACATATACAGCATTATTAACTTTTTTGAATAACGATCGACTGTAAAATACCAACTGTTACGTGTACATGTGAAATTACTTTTCTTTTCTTTTCTTTTTTTTTTTTTTGCTATGTTTTTTAAGGACATTTATCATCTTTACAACCCTTCTAGAGTCAAAAGCTTTCAAGTGTCTGTCACTTGAAATTTATGGATTATATGTTAAAGTGTTGTGACCTGTTTCCAACCCTTTTAATATAAAATGTTATCCTGCACTCGAGGATTTCCTCGAGCGTATTTTTAATGTATTCCCTTGCGCTTCGTTTACATATTCTTAATGTAATCTTATTCGTATTATTTAATAGACATCTACTATATTATATTATACGTATATATATATATATTATCGAACGAAGTACGATTCTACAAATTATTACATGTATTTTCATTCTTGACCTCGTTGAAGTGAGAAACGTTAAAAAAAAAAATGAGCGGAAGAAAATGTACATTTTTTATAATATATGCTGATACATCGCATGAAAACTTTAGAACGAGCAAAATTTTAGATTTTCCATATTATTTCCATCGCATCACTGAAGCGAAATGTATATTATTCACTTACGATATTTGAAAAAAAAAAAAAAAAATTACTTAGAAATATGAAGAACTAAAAGTTTTACTAAAACGAGTATTAAGAAATAAGAACACGTTTAAATATCCTTGAGTAAATCAATTATGAGATTCTGTTCTAGCGATATTACAAATCCCATCTGTTACGCAGAATAGTTACGGTTGAAGAGGCTGAAGAGTACTGCAACAGTCAGGACGATTGCTGCGTATTCGTGGAGGCGTCCGCGAAGAGGAACTACCACGTGGAGGAGCTTTTTTACCAACTGTTCGTAGTGGCAGGTTTGCCGTTGGAAATGGCGCCGAATCATCACAGAAAGGTCCCACTCACTTTCGGATCTCCGACCATGTTACCACCGTCACAGGTAAAGGATCACCACTCCTTCCTTTAAAACGATCGAATGGCGCGAATGAGTCCCAAACGGATGAATCCCCGAACACGATCTTCGTAGAAAATAATTTTAAAGAATTTTAAAGAACCAGGCGTTGAGCTGAGAGAATACTTGTTCATTTCACGGTGCTCGATTCGAAACAGCGGAGGGGGAGAGAATGTTCCATCGAAAGGAGAGGTAAACGAATTCGTAGTAGTGAATTGAACGATTCTCAAACTCGATGAACAAAAGAGGGTGTCTCTCGGTGCAAGTGGGTATATAACTCGAGGGTGGTGAGCACCGCGTTAAATCGGATAAACGATTACGTTCCCTATTCGGAGAGCGTGTCGAGTGGATCTCTCTCTCTCTCTCTCTCCTTTTTTTTTCTTTTTTTCCCCCTCCTCTTTGAAAAGCGTTTGAAAGAGCGACAATTTGTTTCCAGCCAAGGCACAAAGCCACCCTGAGTATAAAGCGACGGTTGAGCGACGCCTGCGGCGTCGTGGCGCCCAACGTACGCCGGCCAAGCATCAGAACGGATCTGATGATTATGAGAACGAAAACGTGCTCCCTGGCAGCCGGGAATGAGAACAACGCGCCTGGATCGAGGATCACCCTGCGTACAGACGCCAGAAAGACGTGCTCCATTCAGTGATATCCCTGCTGTCGAAACGAATAAGAATTCGAGACGAATATAAGAATCCGATCCTCGTTAAAGAAACACGATTCCCTCGATCACGATCGAGCAATCGTGGATCGAGCATTGTATCGTTATCTTTCTCTCTGTCTTTCTCTCTTTCTCTCTCTCTCTCCCTCTCTTTCTTTTAGAAAAAGGAAGAAGAGAAACGATTTTGAACTTTGATGCTCGTTCACGAGAGGATGTGGAGGAGGATGAAAACGTGAAGTATCTGGCAGTATTTGCGTTTTTTCACATTAATAATCGTGTATAATGAAGTAGGGGCGAGGAATCGTGAAGCGAGGATCGTGGAGGAAAAGGGAAAACGTTTAAACCGACCACGCCGCTCGCCTTAATTAATTAAAGAGATAGGTCTAGCATAGGGTCCCGGAAGTGAGACGTATATTAATAAGATACAATCGGGAGGATCGTTTGTTAAGATTAATCAATCGACATCGATCGAAAAGGGTGCACGAAAGGGTGTAATTGCGGTTAGGGAGACGAAGGGGATAAGAGATAAACGTTCTCGTGATAAACATTCGGATCTTTTTTGAGGAACAGTCGACCATTCTTGTATACTCTGAGCGAAATATTTGTCGAACTATTTATTATTTACTTTTTTACTCGAACGAAGTTTGAAATCGAAGTATGCTTTGAAACTTGTTCGATTATACGTACAGTGATTAGATGGAAAAATAATAATTCTATTTTGAATTAATTTGATCGAGATAATAATTTGATTTCGAAACAGAAGATCGATATTTACTGTCCTCGTAATTTGTTCAAATGGTCGACTGATCGTGACGCTTGGATTCTATTTAAGCATGATCGTTAAGCCGATACGAACCAAATACGTGTATACGTGTATATATAATTAATTTATTATTATGAAACGCGATGGCACACTATTGTATCGAATATGTATGAGCATTGGATGCATTTGATCAATCATCGGGAAAAATTTGAATCATTTGGAAATATCGTTCGATATTTCAATAATTACCGGCAATTATAATTCGTCCAATTTATAATCGATCGATTCGAGTTTCATTTCCTATCGTATTCGTAATTCTAAATTGAACGACTCGACTTGTTTTTTTAACAAAGGTAAAAAAAAAAAAAAAAATATATCATCGAAATTCGAAACGCTCTCGAAACTTTCGAATCTTTCGTATTCAAATTATTCGAACGCTTGCAACATTAACGCACAATGTTGCTCAACGTTGAAACATTGTTAATAAACTATATAATAATCGAAGCGCTAAATGAAAAAAAGAAACATAACGTGTGTGAACGTACACGAGACGCATCTTTTCGTAAAACTCATCCCTGATTTTCGGACCAAATGAAACGTTTCGTTCTCTTGTAATAAATGCGTAAATAAGAATAATCAACACGTGCCTCTTTTTTCCTTATTAATATCATCACCTTCTTGTTTTTTTCGATGGAAAAAAATTATAATAATTCCATCCATCCGGTTCATTAATATGAAATTACCATTTTCTCTCTCTCTCTCTCTCTCTCTCTCTCATAGTTGAAGCTGTGCAATAACTCAACAACTGGAAACTTTCTTGGACAACCTTGTTAGTCAAAGTAACAAGAGAGGAAAGTAATTAACCATTAGGGAGGAAACGTCGTAGGTATTTAAAAAGTAATGCGACTCGAATCGTCCACCTTTCTATTCATGCAATCATTTTCGAATCAACGCTCTAAAAATCCTAACGAAAAAGTGTTTTCTTCTTTTTTTCCTTTTTTTTTTTTTTTTTTTTTTTTTTTTTACAAACTTCTCGGTAGATTAATTACCCTTATAAAAGAAAGTTCTGCCTCGAGAGTAGTTCCGGGGGTGAGGCCAATTACACGATTAATACGTTAATTAATTTCCTGACCGCAGAATTTCCTTTCTGCTCGTTTTTACAATCCTTATTACAGACGGTTCAATTGCAAACACGCTGAAACATCGTTTCTAATTAAACGCGACGAGGGTTGTTGTGTTTTCAAAAAGCAAAAAAAGATTCTTCCCTCCTGCCCAGGTTTTTTTTAAAATCGCTTCAATGTGATTTTCAAGTTGAGTATTCGATCTTCTTTATTATTCCGTGCACTTGGACGGCCTTCAGAGACTTGGTCACTTGGACGAACTCGAAAGTCCATCCATAATGTTGGTTGTTGTTTTATCGAGCAGCAATAGTTTGGAACAGTAATGGTTTTAGTATTTATTGATGAACAACTCGTTCGAGTGTATTCAAATGGCCATTCAACCGTCGTATCTCTCGTGATATTTCGCTCGATAGCCCTCAGCGACACTTCGAACCTAACTCAGGTATTCATTGAAATACATTTAAATCAAGTCATCGAGGTAACTTCTCCTTTCTTCTTCTTTTTAATGGCCAAATACGATCTTTCGATAATAATTGAATCATCGGTTCAGAATTTGAAAGAAATAATTATACACTTATCCATCAAGAATGACATTTCAATCCATTTCAATCCTTTAAAAAAGAAAAAAAAATTGTTAAATTGATATTATTTTAATTCGTATCGAGCAAACTTATAAATTATTTTTTTTTTTTTAAAGCATTTTAAAACATGCTTGCGTGATTAGAAAAACAAAGTTCAACAAAATATCAAATAATGATTCGTAATAAAAACTTAAGGTATTCAAATTAATGCTTGATGATTACTTTTTATATATTCACATACATTTATGTGAATATTCATGAGATAGATCCTGTTAATTATCAGTTAATTATCTGATGCCAAAATATTTATAATTTATTACCAATTTATCTTGAAATTTTTTTTACGTTCATACAAAAACAATAATTTTATAATTCTTTTCATAAAATTACATTATAATGCAAGGAATAAATATATTTTCAATATCAAAAATATCTCGAAGCGAATCTTCTCTCTCTGCCAATAGCTTCTTCGTTCTCTGGATATTCAGATATTCTGTCTTGGATTAACCGTCTAAAAAATGTCAACGAATAAAAATCCCTTTATTCTTAATCCTATACGATATATTTTGACGAAATGCTCGTTCGAATTCCTCTTTGTTTCGCTTTTTTAAATTCATTTTTCCCGATTTCAAAACTGCAATACAAAAATACAAGTGCAAGAAATAACAAATTCCAAAGATCGTGAACAAAAATTTTGGATCTTTAAAGATCCAAGTTTGGATTTTCAAAAGAAAAATACAGTCTGGGACATGACACGACGTATCGAGATTCAAGGAGCAGAATCCATTAGAAGGAGTTTCTGTACAGAGAGAGATGACCACAAAATTCCTGACGGGCGGAATGTTTAATTAAACTCCGTCAAGAACTTGGAGAATTTCGGACGAGGCGTCACAAAGCTCGTGCATCGCGAGATGTGTCTCCTTTATCGCAAGGAAAGGTAATATCGACGATATAACAGTTTTTTTCCCGCGAACGACTCATTTAATTAATTCTAATTTCTCGTTCCTCTCCGTTTTAATTAAAGAATTACCACCTTTATATGAAAATATATTCGCATTATGCTCATTTTTTCCTATAGACTTTTTTCTTTTTTTTTTTTAACCTTAAGTCAAATAAAATTTTGTTATGCGCAACTTTCGTGCGAAATGTAATATTATCGTCTGTGCAAATTAATTCCATTGTTTCAGTATGATTCGACATAGAATACTTAATTGATTTAATTCTTTAATTCATAAGTATCGTATTAGCATTGAAACGAAAATGAAGTCAAGAGATGTTGAAAGAATTAAAATTCAGCGAGGAATTAATATTTAAGATTTGTTCATATCTAGGTTTTTATATTGAATATATATATTCAATCATATATTTATAATTAGTAATAAAAATGATGTAATTATTATTAATATATGTTAATATTTAATATAAAAAGTGAGAATGTTAAATATTTATATTTTCATACATAATGAAGTAGATTTAATGATTCGTTAATCAGAATATATAATTATCATTTATAGATGTTTTTTAATATTTTCGAAATCGTTGGAAAAATGTAGAACGAAATTGATAGCGAAATGATAATTTTTTACCGTGTAATAATAACTTATTGGTGGTAAAAGAGTACAATACAATGTCTTAATCATCCACATTATTTTCAAGGTAATTATTTCCATTATCGTGAATAAAATTTGCTTATAATGAAGGAAATGTAAATTCATATTTACATATACATTCTACGGAAAAATACGTAGAATTCAGTAAAACTCGAAAATTAATGAAAAAAAGTATGAGTAAAAGTAAATAAATAATATGACATTAATACGAAAGAAGTATACGTAATCAAACGAAAGTGAATAATCATATCGATCATTTTTTTTCTTCCTATAAAAATAACCGAAAACAAAAATCAATTTAAAAAACATAGCTGCATAATTAAAATAGTATATTATAAAATGATAATCCAAGGATTTACAGAATGACAATTTTTTCCTAGCGAATACATGTATATATCAGTCATAAGATCAATATATATTATCAAAGCAAGGATATTTGCAAATCTGATCAGAATGATTTAAATTTCACTCACATTTCATGCGACTATTATAACACGAATGATTTTCGATGTCTTATTTTTTTTTTTTTTAATGCGCAATATCATAAAAAATTTCAAATTATAATTATAATTTTAATAAATTTAAGATAATCATGGTTCAGTTATGCATAATTACAAAAATAGGATATAAATATGAAAATTACTACATTATATAGGATATAATGTAGTAGTTTCTTTAAGATACGCAATTTTCAATTTTGATAAAGTAGCAAACATTATTTATTTTATTAACTTCGTTATAAAACAGATTTGAAATATCAATGCAACATTATAATCGTATAATACTTATCTTACAAAAAAGTTGTTTGTGCATTTCGATACATAATATTAATTTAATCTCTATTTTCTATATTTTTAACCAATAACTTTTAATATCATTCTAAAAATTGAAGTTTTTAATTTCAAACTAACAGATCTATTTAGAAAATATTTTTAATTAAATGTGACGGTACAAAAAAATATTTCTCCTCTCTCAAAATAAATATAATAAAATATATCGTGATATCTTATATTTCTCGATAATAATTTCTAATAATTGTCAAATCAATCTCAAAAGTCAAATTATTTTTCGATTTCCTTTTTATCTTCGCTGCGTTCCAGCGATTCGAAAATATTTTCTTGCACAAGAAGAGCAAAGGAAAGAGAGCGAGTTGGAAATCACTTTTCATATGATTGCAGGGACAAACGCTCATGGGAACTGTGCAACGCGTGAATCTGGAAGGATTTTATCCTACAAGGAAGGAAATTCGAGAACAGTTGGTTCTAACGAACAGCCAGCATGAGAATACCCGAGAGAGGGAAATAAATAGGAGATATCTTGAAGAGCGGCATAACCATGAAAACGAGCTGCGAAATTTCGCACGATGAATGATCTCTATCTAAAATTCTTCGCTACTCCGCAGTGATAACACATCAGGGATTCGAATGAATTATTTTATTAATGAAAAAAGACGAGGATCTCTCATTGATTATTTATTATAACTTGATCCCTTATTAAGGATTCTTATTTCTTTACATTCTCGTCCATCCAATTTATTTAAGCCTCGTTAAGATGTTGATTTATCATTTAATTAGATATTATTAATATTAATATATTTTTTGCGAAAGATTCATATGTAATAATTCATTTTTATTTATTCATAAAATATTTTATGAAATAGATGTATATATTTATACTTTAATATGTATAAATATATATATTTTATTTGCGAAATCAAAAAATATAGAAAAGATTTATTTATAATATCATTCAAATATTCCTATATTTCTTTCCATATTTAAATTATGAATTAGGTTATTAAATTAAATTATTTTTATATGAATTTGAATGTATGAATATGAATTTATCAGTGAATTTGAATAATCAGTGATAATATAAATAAAAAATATTAAATAAAATTTATCCTTGAAATTGAAATTTTCTTATATTTATCAAGATTTAAATTATAATTTATAATTCAAATAAAAAATGAATATTAGCTAATCAAAATAAATTCAAAGTTTTAATGTACGACATTTCAATTAATAAAAATAAATTTGAATCAAAGAATATATATACAGGTGAGATAGAATTTATAATCACGCCTGCGCTCAGAAAATCGACCTCTCGAACCATTGATGTAACCACAAGCACGAAATATGCGCAAGCGTATTATTCACAAGGAATCCATTATCACCACAGTAATTTTATCGGAGGCGTATAGTTCGAGATGGATCAAGCAAAAACTTTACATCGAACTTGGGCTTTGAGCCGCTAACCAAGTCGTGTCGCATCGTTCGTCGTAATCAAGATTGAAATATTCATTCGCATATATAAAAGAACGTAAAAACTAACCGCGCGTACATACGACCATAGGACGGCCATTCTTGAGTAACGAGTGTATATGATAGGCACGTGGACGATACGAGTTTACGAATTGTTCGGAATTTTTCTTTGCCAGTGTTAACGTGTCTCTTGTCGAGCAAAGACGTGATTTTTCGTCGAATCAAAATTTATAAATGATATACAATGAGTGTGACAAGTGCTAAGAATTGTTATATTGAAATATTCTTCGATTTTCATTTATACGGTAATTGTTTTCGTTATTAATCTACCGCGTATGTTGTGTTATGTTATCGACGGTGGTAATTGAGTTAAATTCCATTGAATTTTTAAAATTGATCAAAAATATCGATAAAAAATATCAATATTATCGAATAAATAATAATTCTGAGATTGTTAAAAATTAAAAATGAAAGCGAAAATTTATATTTTATATTGGATTGTGTTATATTATAATAATTATATTTAATTATTGAATTAATTTTATTAATCTTTTGATTGATAAATATTTTGAGGGATTAAAATTAAAAATGTTATCGTGATATCTTTTGAAACATAATAATTGTTTTTTTTTTAATATTTTTTAATTATTAAATTATTATATATAAATTATTATATATATTTATTTTTTAAATTAAAGATTTCAAATATGTTTATAGGATAATTATCGATCTTGTGACAATTCGAAATTCGAATACATTTTATTGTAATAAATAAATTTTTGAAATCGACTTCTAATAATGGGTGGTAGAGAACACAATAGAAACATTTTCAGTTATGAAACACTAGTTCACGCAATATCTGGTGCTGCTGTAAGTTTAAAAAAATAATAAATAAACAAGTTTTAAAAAATTAAAAAGCTTATTAATAATTTATAATTTAATTTTTAATATTTTCAGGGTGGTGTCGTTGCCATGGCAATGTTCTTCCCTTTGGATACAGTACGAAGCAGATTACAACGTAAGTTATATTGAACCATTAAATTTTTTATATATTTATTTTAAAAAATTTTATATAAATTTTATATATTATAAAAAAAAATTCTGTAATAAAAATCATATTATATTTTTATATATACATTGAATAAATATTATTGAAAATAATCAATAAATAAAAACGATAGATTAGAATACTTACAAGCGTTTGTAGCATAAAAAATCAGATTAACTTTCATGTCATCAACTGATTATATTGTATACAAAATACATTATGTAAAAAATATATTTATATTTTGTTATGAAATATAAGTACTTTATCTTAAGTTGGTTACAACGTAGTTTAAAAATCAATATTTTTTTTTTTGTAGTGGAAGAAGATAGAAAATCGAAAAGTACACTGGCAACAATACGCGATCTCGTCGAAAAAGAAGGACCGTGAGTTTTTTTTATTTTACAACGTATATACACTTCAACTTGTATTATTTTAACAACTTGTTAAAATAATAATATTTTGCATCCATATTACAAAATTTATATTCTTTACACAGAGAAACTTTATACAGAGGAATTATACCTGTTCTTCAAAGTTTGTGTGCCAGTAATTTCGTTTACTTCTATACATTCCACGGTTTAAAAATGCTTAAATCGCAAAGAAAGCAATCAGCTGGAAATGATTTATTTCTTGCATCAATCGCAGGTAAATACGTAACAAAAAAATAATTATTATTTGAGATACTATTAGTTAAAAATTATTTTTTTTAGGCGCAATTAATGTTTTAACAACGACACCATTATGGGTGGTAAATACTAGATTGAAAATGAGAGGTATCGATCGTACACCGGAAAGAAATAATAATAACAAATATAATACGTTATATGGTAAGTTTTAAAATTACGTAGATGAATAAATCAATATCAGTAAAATAAATAACAAATATGTAGAATCTTATCATATAATTAAGTAAAGTACAATGTCTAACTTTTGACGTACGGGAAATAAGTATCGGAATTCATTTTCATAAATATGAATTTACTTTGTGAAAACATTCTACTTGAAATAAATTAATAATTTTACACGTATTATATATTTAGCTGGCCTTATACATATATGGAAATACGAAGGAATAAAAAGTCTTTGGGCAGGGACTTTGCCAAGCTTAATGTTAATCATAAATCCAGCTATTCAATTCATGACTTATGAGGCTATTAAGAGAAAAATTTGCATGTCTCTAAATGATTCACAACCATCTGCATGGGTTTTCTTTGTTATTGGTGCCGTAGCGAAAGCGGTAGCAACCATATTAACTTATCCATTGCAATTAGTTCAAACGAAACTGAGAGTGCGTATTATATATTTTCTTTATAAATATAAATCATTAATTTTTATAAATATTATTTATATGATATGATTTTAATTTTAGCATGGTCATAAATATCCAAATCTACCACCAAACGCTGGCATTTTAGAAATTCTATTTTACATATTAAAGTAAGTAATATCTAATAAATCTTATTAAATATATATTTATATTTAATGTTATATTTGAATTCTTATTTACAGAAAACAAGGAATAATAGGATTGTACAAAGGAATGGAAGCCAAATTATTGCAAACTATTCTGACGGCAGCATTAATGTTTTTGACTTATGAAAAAATTTCAAGATTTGTTTTTCATATTCTTTTGCATAAACCGATATTGAGATAATAAGTTTTTACACATCGAACAGTATTAATTATTAATATTAATATTGTTCTGTGAGTTTTCGCTTATTATAATAATAAGTAATATATAAGTAATATATAAAATGTGCAATATATACATTACGATAAAGTTACTTTAAAATTAAAACTTATTATAAGAAAATACCGAGAAAACATTTTTTTAGATACATTTTTTAGAAAACATTTTTTCATAGTAAATGAGAATAAAATTTAGAAATAAAAAAATTTAAATTGTATCATATTTTTCGATATTTATCTTATTAATAATTCGTTTACATAGCGATTAACGAGTTAGCATTGGAATGTCATAAAATAGGTGCTCTCTTGTTTAACCACAAGTCTCAAGTCACGTAACAGGAAAAATATCCATCAAACTTTATCCGTATATCCGGAAAATGTGAACTCAAGTACCGAGAATACTGGCGAATCTCAAGAAAACGCGCTTTCGGTTTCAGTCGCATTTTCGTCGTCAATCCAGTCACTCCATATCGCCTGTGTCGCAGACGCGAAAAATAGAATCAAAATGGGGCGATAAACAAGCCGAACTCATAAATCCTATCAATCAGAACAGTTTAACATTGAAAAGGATTGAACAAAAATCTACAAAGGCGATTTTAAAATTCTGGAATAGACTGAAGCCTCGCAAAAGCGCGAGGAAGAAAATAGAACCTCCTGCGAGTAAACCATTAGCTTCTGTGTAGGTTAAATTGCTTGATGAAATTCATTCTTCCAATGCTTCTCAAAAATTATATTTATAAAAATATGATATTAACAATGATGAAATGTTAATTTATTTCAGATGGAATTTTAATAATGTTGAAAAAAAAATGAGCGCTAGATCACAACGTGGGAATCACGACACGTCGGCCAGCAAACGACTTCATAGCCCGCGTATCAATCCAAAAAATCGCGGACCAAGACCTCATATAACATATGATTACGATGCTGCGATCAGTCAACCGGATGTACCGAGTTTGATTGATTATAAGAAACTCGGTCGTGGGGCGATGGTTAGTGGAGTCCTGCTTAAAAAGAGAACTTTAAAAAAACGAATTAAGCCAAGAAAGAATTTTCAGAAAAGATCACAGGATTTCAAAACGAAACCGTTGGTCCAAAAAAAAGGTATGCGATTGCCTGGTAGTAAAACCGGGAATCCAGCGAACAAAACAGTTGGATCTTCTTCTAATTTTGACAAAGATCATGTCGATGAAAAAGAAGATATTATCAATGATACTATCGACGATTTGTCAAACATATTGAAGGTTCGTACTTTTTCTTCTTTTTATTTAAAATTTCGTTTTTGAACAGATGACGATTTGTAAAATTGATTCATCATTTATATATCATATATTTCTTTATTTTAAATTTAAATTTAATTTTTTTTTTTCAAGTACTTATTTAGAGGGCTAAAAAAATCGTTTTATTTTATTGTAATGAAATAGAATTTCATTATCTTTAGAAGAATTTATTACTAATGAATGATAAAATTATTTCGTACAAGGATACAACGATAGAGGCGACCGAGAATGATAACGATAGTGAAATTATAGAGGAGAAAATAAAAAATCCGAAATTAGATGATTTCGAATGTGTTGCAACAAAGTCACCAATCACAGTCAAATGCAGTAAAATTCCTCGCGCGAAGATTACTATTTTTCCGGCTCATACGCTTCATGAATCCCATGCGGTAGTATATTTTAATTAAAAATAAAAGTCATTTAATGTATATAATATAATGAATTAACATAAACAGCTTGAACAATAACGAATTATTTACACGATAGACCAAGTTGAAAATAAAGGAATCTCTTCACTTGAAACATCCGACGACTGGTATCGACATGTTAGTTATGCAAATAAGATAAGAAATAATAATACTGAATATCGCTAAAAATTTATCATAACAATTAAACATCAATTTAAAGTATTGAGATCACGGACAACGAGATGAAAAAAGGATGCTGTAAAGAAGAAAATAAAAAAGATGTGGTTCGTTTTGACTGCGAAATACCAAAAGAAACAAAGTACGCGTGATAAACGTAGAAATCTATTTGAAAAAAGATACATTAATGTATTCAGGAGCATTGCATTTTATTCAGAATAGTTTGGAACAAAGATGAGACTTCGACGTTAGAGGCGGATGAAGAATGTCATGGAATGACGTCGACCGACGAATCCCCTCTTTTTAGCAGCATCGATGATCCCCGTGTTTTAACGATCTTACGAAGTTTGAAACTAAACTGTCCTTGTAGATCATGTACCGAACAAACTTTGCCTTTGAGCATTCGACAAGAAGATGACAGCGATTTAAAGAGTTCATCTCCGGAAGAAATTAGAAAGAAAAAATGGTTGAGATAATATTTACTTGAAACTGTAAGAGTAAATGAATATTATAATGATTGTACATGATTATCAACAGGTCGTTGAAACATCGAAAGTATGTTTATACAAGTACCGAAGATATGGATGTTTCATCTGATTGCAGTAAAAAAGGAAGAAAAATTCGATATAAATCGAAGAATATTCTGAATCAGCGTATTAAAGCAAGTTCGATAATACACACAACTCCGAAAATTTCTCATCGTCGACGAACAAGTTTTTCCTTTTTTAACACTCTTTTTGATATTGTTTTTTGGCCTTATCTATTTCTGAAAACAAATCGGTGAAAGCTTATTTTTTTATTAAAAAAAAAAAAAAATCATGTTTAAGAACATGATATTGTTAACAAGTTTCTAAAAAATGAATTTTTATAATGGTTTCTTTAAATATCTCTCTTTGAAAGTATACTTAAAGTTAAAACCTCTGAATTTATCATAATTTATGTACAATATATATGCATCGTTTTTTATGAACTTATATCGAAAATTATATATTATTAATTGATAATATATTTCATTCTTCATATAGAGTTTATAGAACATTTTAGAAAATATTTAATTAATGTATATGTTTAAGAAAATATAATTTTTAATTATACATAGTATAAAATACAAATCGATAGTATAATTTGGGGTCTCACCTCAAATATTCATTATTTACATAAATTTTTTATGATAAAATACAATGATTGTGTTTTAATTTTTATAAAATAAAAATTGATTTCAAAAAAAAAAAAATTAATAAACGATAAAAAGATTAAAAAAAAATATAAATATTCTCCACAATTTTATAATACACTGATTGCTGAAAATATAAAATATTACATATCAATATTTCTTTATCAAATTCCTTTCAATTGACCTACCTTTCTTCGTAGGTGTTGATATACTTCTATGAAGTTTCTTCGAAAAAAATGACAAAGTTAATCTGTCATAAAGATTGTCGATTTCATTTACCGTGTTTTCTAAAATTTTGGTAAGAGCCTTTTCGCTTTGTACTAAAGCTTTATCGGCAATCAAAGATAAATGCAAATAACCTCGATATGTTAATAACGAACATCCAATTCCTGTATAACTTCTAAAAATGATATAATGATAAAAGAAATTAAACATTTACAGCCATTGAAATATTTTTGCTAAAATATTAAATAAAGAAGAAGCGAATAATATGTAATAAAAAAAAAAATATAAAAAAAATTACCTGTTTGGTATCCAAAAAACAATATTTTTTAAAGGATGTCCCAAAAGTTTCACTTCTTGAGGACCAACTAAATTGCTAAACACCATAGTACTATGACTTTTTAAGATTGGTCGTAAAAATTTGTCGGGTAGCATAGCTGAAAGATACTTCATTACTAAGAAATTCACAGTGTAATCTGGACTTTTTCTAAGCACATCATTCGCTTTTCTAATATCTTCAAGGCGTTCTAGAATTTGAGAATTCTCTCGTGGATCTGCAAGCTGTTTACCCTTTATCTGTGAAATGCAGAGGGGCAGTATACCAACTGAAATATTATTTTGCAGGGGGAAGTTCTCACTCCATTCTTCGATTTTCATCGGTAAAACAACGCTTAATTTTGTTGGAACGAATTCGTTTATCTGTAAAAATGAAATTAAAAAAGAAGACATTCAAAATATATAATAAAATTTAAATACAAATAAAAAATATATAATTACTTACATTAAGGAAATATTTATGTAAACTGACTGATAAAGCAGCTAATAATACATCTCCAAATCTAGCACCAGTGATACTTCTTATATTTTGTATTTTTGTAAACAATTTTTGATTGCAGGTATTTTTAAAATCGTCTTCAAGCCAGTAAGAAACAAACTTTTCACCTGATAATTCTGCTCCATGGAGTGCGCTAAAGTAAAACATTTAATATTCTTAATTGTGAAAAATTGATACATAAAAAAAAGAATTAAAAACTGGACAAACAAACCTTTTGTCCATGCTACGAAAAGCTTGTTGAATCAGGCAACCAGGAAGATTTATAATAATTTTCGCCATTTTTAAACCTTTCTGTATCTTTTTACAAATCATTTCCGAGAAGAAAACTTTTAATCTATCTTGTTCTGTTCTTAGAAACATTTTCATTTCGCATTTCAAGTCTTCTAAAGTAATATTTTGTAAATACTTCAACCATGTATTAAAATGTTTCCATAATAATAGAAAAAAATATGAAAACATCGTAAAATGAATAAATGGCATCGATGCCGACATGATTTTCTTTTGAAACGAATTACTGTCCAAACTATTCTCTCCATTCGCAGGATTCATCAAAGATACTATTACATTCTGCTTTTTCGTTTTCTCGTTCTTCATTTTCAAATTGTTATCCAACTGCAAGAATATTTCCGAAACTGGTTCTTTATCAATAATAACATCTCTAAAGAACTTTAGAAGAGCCATACCATCGCCTAAAGAATGATGGACACGAAATAAAATGGGAATCTTAATTTTATTCGTCAAACGTTCCTCCATTCGTCGAAGATAATGATGACTCAATCTGGGGCAACATTTTCCAATTAAGATCTCCCAGGATGCTGTGTGATTCTCCGGTAAAGGCTGATTACAAATATTCCATAGAACTTTTTTCAGATGACTATTGTAAATATTATCACAGGATCCGTCGCAATTCGTGCGTTCGTATTCCAACCATCTGATACGTTCTCTCAGATCGATCTCTTCACTTCTCTCCCAGAAGTAATAGCCAAATTTTCTTTTTCTTTTATACAATAGCTTTTCAAAAGACGAACATACTATACGATTCTTCACCAAATCACGAAAATTCTCCAGGAAGTTGATGTTCGAGTGACGAGCATCTTTTTCTAAAATCATAAGGATATTATTCACAGAAAGTGCTGATGATTGTTCTACTGCCCAAACGCAGTCCATCCCATCAAGAAGACCCACGAATTTATCCTTTAATTGAATCCTTAAAATGATCTGTATGATACAGCGATATAGGTACAAACATATTAATAGTAGAATAACCAGTGGAGAGAAAAGAAAAGTATAAAACGCGAAAAATGTTTGATACACTTCCGACATGACGTTTTATTAACTTTACATTTGTTGATTCTTTTGATTCTTTTGATTCAAAGTTGAGAAATATTTAGATTCCTTCTGTTTTTAATCATACATATTGATTACACCTATAAAAATGAAATGAAAATATACGAATTGAAAAATGAATTGTCAAATAAATATTTATTAATGTAATTATTTATGAGAAATTAACTTACATGATGATTAATAACGATCAAATTATCCTGAATTTTCTTAGTGCTGGTCAGCACCAAGTAAGACTAGTCTGAATAGAATCGTTGCTTTTATAGGGAAGCACTTGCCATCGATCGTCGTTAACTTGATTTAACATAACTCTTTTATCCGGTTATTACCTTTAGTTGCATAATTCCGATATTCTTAAACATTGTCCTTGTATCGGCAGACACGACTTATACGATCTTCTTCTTAACCGGCTAAAATTCTGCAACTATATGGTTTTACTAGTCTTATTTTCCTAAGATTGAAACATGAAATTTCTTTCTTTTTTTAATCGTATTAAATGAATAAAACTTACATCTTAAATAAAGTCAATTACTCGAAAGAAATAGTGCTGCTATTTTCACTTGTTTTGCATCCATGTCTAGCTTTCTGAAGAAGAATTCTTAAAAAAGAATTTTCACGAGCCAAACGATCATTACGTCGAGTTTCTTGAGCTAATAATGCATCTTTGTTAAGCATCATAGATATTCCAGAATTTTTTTTCAAACCTTCACTTCTTGCTTTTTTCAATGCATCCTAATATATAATTATTCTGCAGTTATAAATGAATATTTTCTATTTAATATTTATTCTTTCAATTATTTAAACCTGCAACGTTTTTATAGAGCCACGTAACAAAATTTCTTGTTCATCCTTCCTTTTTTTCAAGAACAAGTACTTTTTACAAATATTTTCTACAGCTTCGTTTCGTTCGACAAGTCTTTCACCAAGTGTTAATAATCTTTGTTGAAGATTATTGATCTATTTTAATTGATCAATTTTAATAATTATAAAAAATTGATATAAAAAAAAATTATAAAATTTTTTAAAATTTATTAAAGATTACCTCGTATGTTTTTTCTTTAAGAAAAGAATTCTGGGAATTGAGTTCTTGTTTTAATTGTTCGTTCTGCATTAATAAAGCATCATATCTAGGAAGTTCAACATCACTGTCTTTTTAACGGTACATTAATTTGCAAATATATACTAATTAAGAATACTTTTGATGCCATGTTCTTTGCACTTCCTTCTTCAGAGATTCTGGCAGTACAATGTCGTTTCCAAGACGAATATCCGTAACACTCTGTCGAAATAAATCTAAAAATATTATGTTATTTATATTATAATCGTTATTTTAATTATTTACTATTCACCACATCATATTTTTATAATTTAAATATTCTTACATACTGAGCATATTTTTATTGCGTTTATTCGCTTTTCGAAGATCATCTATTATTATTTTATTTTTCGTTTTCAAATTTGAATATCGTAACCATTGTTCCGTTTCTAAATTACGTGTAATCATGAGACTTTCCTCCAAAGATTTCATAGTATCGAGAATATTATGTATTTTTATAATATATCCCTCTAATGGAATTATTTTTTGTATACGAGAATCGTCCATATGTTTTTTTAAATTATTATTTAATGTAACACGAATTAATTGAACATCGACATGAATATCGTGTATTTACTGTTATTTTCGATAAACTTTCAATTATTAGAAATTATCATAATAATCATCAAATTCTATAATTTCTTTTTTTTTTATTAAATTATTTTAATACAAATTTAATAAATTTTTATTAAATTTAAATAATTACATTATAATTGTATCTTAACTTTATTAACAAGTAAAAATACACAGAAAATATATATATGTCCTATATCGATCATCACAGACTTATATTAATACATAAAACGTATTTAACACATTAATTTTTACAATTCAAGAAATATTATAAATTATTAATAGAACAAAAAATAACAAACGAAGTTGTAAACGTACGAAAATGTAAAAAAAATATTCATTATCTAGACATTGGACACGGTTCTGATGCGTACTGTTTGAACTTTTCATGAATACTTCTCAAATGATCTCGACAACAATTTCTGGTATCCTCTAATATACTAAGTAAAGAATTCCTTGAATTGCTACTTAAAGCTTCGTTGAAACGTTCCAAAAGTGCACGATCTATTTGCGATACTCCATCCAAATCTATAGCCATTTCTTGTACTTGTTTGACATTTTCGATTAACGATTCCAACGAGGGTTCCTTCTTCGATTGTCTAAAAATCGATTTTTTATTTATCGACTAACTGTTTTATCAAGAAAAGTTTCCTTCTCTCTGAAGGTAACATTTTAAAAGTATATTAAAAAATATATTTATTCGAAAAAAACTAAGAAAAATAATTTCAAAAAATAATAATATGTATTTTGTAAAAAATTACGATTATTATTATTAAAAGAAAATTAATAATTACTTACAGAAACTTTTGTTCACGTTCAATAATCTCAAAACATATTTCGAATAGCGCCAAACACTCAAGATTGTCTCTGAGATCATATTGTTCCAAAAACTTTTTAAAAATTTCTCTTCCACGTGGATGATTCAACGTTTTATTTATATTATCTGTAATCTGATCTAATTCATCAATACTAAGACCAGAAGTACACTTCCCGATGCAACCGATTGTTCGTTTCGATAAAGAAGTCTGCATATTTTGTTCCACAGATGTACCTACTTTTTCGTTAGAAATGATTAAACATGTTTTTTTTACGATTGATCCATATGTAGTTCGGAATAATTGAAATATTCATTATATAATTTATATATATAATAATTCAAATTATCTTTATATGCTTGTGAATATGAAAAATATTTTATATTAAACTTTCTAAAATATGTAATTAAATTGAGAATGTGATTTATAAGAAATAAAAATAAAATTGTTAATAAAATATAACAATTCTTTTGATATACAAATTATGTGAATGTTTCCAATTCGTAATTAAATAATTTATTAATTAATTGTATTATAATAATAATTGTATTAATTTGATTCAATATTGTAAATGACATGATAAACAAAATTGTACATTTTACCGAAAACATAACGATAAACCACAAATCTATATTCTTATCTAAACTGACGTCATATATAGCTATCATATATTAAATATATTAAGAAATTTCTAAAGAAGACTAGAAAGAAAATTGAAAACAATAGACTATGACTACGTATTATTTTTAACTAGTTTATATTTTTACAATAAATAATTGTAATTCATAAATAATATCGGTTTGAACAATTTTATAGTTTCAATTCGGTCAACCGTTACAAATTTTTGAACGTTTATTTATTATCATATATATTTAGTATTTATATAACGATATTAGGAAATTAATTATTAGTTTAATTTTCACTTCTCGAAAACCACGTGAACATAATGGTTACATATAGATATATAAACTTGATCGAGAATAATATTGCTTAGGAGATTCAAACAGAAAAGTATTGATCGCAATTTCAACGAAACCGGATTTACAGTGGCTGATTGTTTTAATCGCAAAGATTACTTGTTTCAAAGAATGAAATAGAGAATCAAACGAATGAAGTTTTAACCGATATTCATAAGCTATGAATTATAACCTTTCATAACCAAATTTTTCATTCCTTTTTTGAAACACTTTTTACTAATTGTATAAACACTTTATACTAATTGTATTTCATTTATTTGTAAACTAACATTTTTTAAAAGTTAATATATCACAGATACTTCACTCTAAACATTTAAAAACTTGAATTTACAAAGTTAAAATAATTATTACCTAATTTTATTAAATTCGTATTTTGTATATTATAACTACGCACAACACTTAGAAACAACAATGATTCACATTATACGTACATATTATTTCTGATAACGAATAACGAACAAAAATATATCCCACTTACTCCTACAATGCCATGGCATAGACTGACGTAACGTATACTTACATGCACCGAAAATATACGTATAGCTAAAACAAAATTATATAAATACATCTAGCAAAAAAATATACTTAAAATATTACAAAAATAATATTTATTAAGAAATTTTTATATTTATATCTTCTTTTTCAACAAAAATATCTAATTTATTTTTTTTTATTTGGCAATAAATCTACATTTATGATTACATTTTATATAATTTGTTTATTAAGATACAAATGATTATGTTTGAAAAAGTATATTACGAAAATTTACGAAAAATTCCAATGTTACTGACGTGTAATTGAATTTGCCTAACATACTAGAAATCGCCTTTGTTATTCAAAGCATCATCTCTGAAACAACTGTTTATTCTGAATGCAGAGTACATACTTGGCGAAACGACAATAAATGATACACAAAGACTTACAACTCTATAAAAATTATTTTAACTAGTCTTTTATTCTAGTCTTTTATTTTAATGTTTATATTAATCAATATTTTTATTCAACAAATGATTGAATTATTTTAATTCATATCAATTTAATGATTCATTGATCAATGAAATAAATATATCTTAAATATATATTAATATAAGTAATATTTATTTTTATTTATTTTAATTACTTGTTTATGCATTATAATATAATTTAAAATTACCGCGAAAAAATGCGCGGGAAAAAATATATTTTTTCCCGCGTATTTTTATATACCATAAAAACCGTTACAATAATAATATATAATCTTATGTTCTTATTGGATATAACGACAAGTAATATGACTGATGATTAATGTCGATTAGTAATATGATAATGGAATAATATCCATATACGACCAATCCTTTTTGCATTCCAAAAGTCAACAATTCAACAAAATTATACATTTTTCTCACAAACATCATGTACAATATCATAAAAAAAAAACACTTTCTATTTCAAAGAGTGCAATTGATAAATACGTTGCATGTCACGTATTATTTGGACATAATTATTAGAATTATTTAGAATTGTTATTAAAATTTTCTTTATTTAATATGTATTGGCTAATTACGTGCACAACAATTTTGTCAGTTGATCTAATACAAAGATCTAATTAAAACGTAGCTTGAATAAGATTAACTTTAAAATTTTAATATTATATCTAATATAATAATTAAAATATTTGTAGAGATTTTAAAATATATAAATTATGGATTCTGAATTTCCTGATCCTGATGAAGAATTTGATTTAATTCATGAGAATGAATATGAAGTTTTAAAAGAAATTGAAGGTATAACCTTATTATGATTCTTTATAAACTTGTGTAAATGATTAAAAAATTTTTTATTAAATTAATATATTATTTTAATAATTGTTTTATTATTTTATAATTTATAATAAATTTTTTGTTATTTGTTATTTGTTGTTTGTTATTGATATTTTATAATTAACTCGCGAAATTATAAATTTGAATTACAAATTTGAATTATTTTTTTTTAGAATTTGAAAAAAAAAACAATGTTAAAATTGAAAATTTGGAGAAAAAACAAAAAGAAAAAAATAAATTAAATACATCTATACCTAATGTATATAAAGAATTGAATATTCCTATCTCTAGCAAATATAATGAAGTAGCAATTGCTAGCACTAGTAAAGCTATTGAATATAATGATAATTTTGATATAGATATTACAAAAAAAAGAAACTATGATGAATTATTTGGTGATATTTCAGATATGTTAGATATAAATAATTTTGGTATGATTTTTTTATATTTATAATATGCAATATTTATATTTACATTTTAAAACATAATAAATAATATTATTTAACTTATAGTTGATATTCAGGAACCAAAAGATAAAAAACCACGATGGGATCAACCTCAAGAAGTTATTAAAGCAGTATTAGATGCTAGACAAAAATTCAATGAATATAATAGAGGAGTTCCTGTTAATAGAAAACATGCTGAAAAGTATGTTAAGAAAAAATATGCTAAACTTTATATTTAAAAGTAATAAATAATTTATATTAATAGTTTACTGATTTTATTTAGCAAAAGAGAATCTATATCATTGAGAGTCCCACGTTGGAATTTTGTGGCTGTAACTAGACCATGTGATGCACAACGTATATATATAAGAGTTAAAAGTAATGAACAATGTGAGATAAAAAGAAATATACATTCAATTTCTAATTTATTATCAGTACCATTTAGCCAAATTAAAGCTGAAGCTGAAGAAATTGTAAGATTTAAAAATACATATTATATAATTTTTAAATTAATTATTATGTTTTTAATAAATATTTTAAGAATTTAAAGTCTTATTGCAGATGGTACAGAATGCTATGCGTGCCAGTCGTGAAACTTCTTACCTTCCTAATACAAACATTGCTCAAGATGATGAATTATGGGTTGATAAATATAGGCCTAGATCTTACATAGAGTTACTTTCAGATGAAAGTGTGAATAGAGACTTATTACATTGGCTAAAACTTTGGGATAAAATAGTATTCAACAGAAATTATATTCAGAAAAGAAAGAAATTAAATTCTACACTTAATCGTTTTAGAAATAAAAAGTTTGTAGATGAAAAAGTTTTTAAAGAAGTAGATAATAAAGGTTTTCCAATTCAAAAAATTGTACTACTTAGTGGACCACCTGGGTTAGGTAAAACTACATTAGCACATTTAGCAGCTAAACATGCTGGTTATAATGTAATAGAAATTAATGCAAGTGATGAAAGAAGTCCAGATACATTTAGGTAATATAATAAAATAAGTATATAAATAAAATTGATATCTTTAACTAAAATAAGATATTGTACAATTATGTTAAAATGTATATTATATTTATATTATATTATATTATAGACAAATTCTCCTTGCATCAACACAAATGAAAGCAGTAATGGGAAGTGATCCTCGACCAAATTGTTTAGTTTTAGATGAAATTGATGGGGCACCAGCTGCATCCATTGATCTTCTTCTTAAATTCATACAAGGTAAATTAATTCCAAAAGGCAAAAAAGATAAAATGAATACTGATAAATCTTCAAATATTTGTCATCGTCCTGTAATATGCATATGTAATGAACCATATACTCCTTCTTTAAGGTAAATATTTTATTTAACTCAATTATATGATTTATTTATATATAAAAAAAAAAATCCTGAACATAAATATATTGAATTTATTTTATAGAGCTCTTAGGACTGTTGCACTTATTATATCAGTACCAGAAGTAAGTTCTACAAGACTGGCAGACAGATTAATGGAAATATCACAAAAGGAAAATTTAAAAGTAAATCCTGATGCACTTTTGACTTTAGTGGAAATATCTGGTTGTGATATCAGATCATGTTTAGGAGCACTTCAGTATATGGGTGGTATTCATTCAAAAGACAATCTATCTTTTGCATTAAAGGATAGTAGAAAAGGATTATTTGATTCATGGAAACAAATATTGACAATACCTATGAATAGAAGTGGAATACTTTCCATTTCAGAAAGAATTCGGCTTGTATTAAACATTGTACAAAACGGTATTAAATGATATTCAACATTTACATATATAAAACTTAAAATTATATTAATAATATTTATTTTTTGTTATAGGAGAATTAGAAAAATTAGCTCAAGGTATATTTCATAATTATCCAGAAATTTGTAATAATAAATTATATTATATAGCATTATGTTTACAATGGTTTCAATTTTTTGATGAAATTTTATCTCTTGTTGCAAATCTTCAGGTTTGGTCTGTTATGCCTTACCTAAATTACGCGTTTGTTACATGGCATTTATATTTTGCTAAATCAAGAAATGCTAAATTATTTTATCCTTCTATTTTATATGAAGTAAGAATCGTGTGAAAATAGAAATATGAAATAATTTAAAATTATAAATTTAATAAAAAAATTTATTTCTTATAGATGAATCAGAAACATGCCAGAAATATTGGAATTCTATCTACTGTTCAAAGAAGTAGTGGTCGTAATAGTATAATTTTAACAATCGATATAGCTCCTTTTTTTCCGGATTTGTTATCTTCACGATTGCGAACAGTTTCTGGACATTTACATTCAATGAAAGAAAAAGAAGATATTAATCGCATAGTTAATATTTTAATTAATTTTGGTCTTACATTTACTCAAGAGAAAAAACTTGATGGAACTTATGACTATAAATTAGATCCGTAAGAAAATAATATATGTTAAAATTAAATAAAATTTTAAATAAAATTTATATATTTATTAATTCTTTCAGTAATATATTTGAAATAAGTATTTTTCCGGATTGTAAATATCATCGAACACTTACATATCCAGTAAAACAAATACTTGTTCAAGAATTAGAAGCCGAACGATTACGACGAGCAGCAAATGCAATAAAAAATGTAACAAAATTTACACAAAATAAAAATGAGAATGCTATAAAAGAAAGTACGACAACAAATTCAAAGGAAGATCTCGTTGCTAAAACACATAATAATATAATTAGTATAGAATCTAAAGAAATTCAAACAAAAGAAATCGTAAGTATAATATTTTTTATATTTTTATTTTTTTTTATTCTTCTTTTTTAATATGAGTATCAAAAATAATAAAAATTGCAGAAATATAAAGATTTTTTTGGAAGAGTTATTACAGTAAGTCAAGATAAACAAAATAAATATGATAAAGAAACTATCAGTTCGCAAACTTTTCTATCAAAAAATGATGTATGGTTTAAATATAAAGAAGGTTTTAGCAATGCCGTTCGTCGCAAAGTTATAATGGAAGATTTACTTTAAATATGCTAATATATTTTCATATAATGAAATTCTATGATTTTGAAATATTTTTAATATTTATATTATAATTTATTTATAAATAAACTTTTTTATTACATTTTTATAAATTAAAAAATCATAATTTGACCTCAGATTTTAAAAAATTAATTTACAAATAAAATATATATGAAAATATATAAAATCATTTCCATAAATTAGATATAAGAAATATATTTAATAATTTCGTCACAGAAAAGATATAAGAATTTTCTTTCACTATTTTATTTATATTTACTTTTGGCGTGTAATCATAGACGAAGTACGAGATATTAATCGAATATATATAACATACTTCGTTTATGTTATAATTTATATTCAATTCATAATTTTAAGTTTTTATAGTATTACTTTTTTAACTATTAAAAGTGAAAAAAATTTTTAAAAATTTGTTTGATAAAGGAAATTTAAAATGAAATATTTAAATTTTTTTCTAAATACAATTTTATTATTATTACTATGGCTGTTAGCATAAAACTTAGAATTATATTTCTAACGTTATATAAATATAATATATTTAAAATATATCATATTTTATATATATTATATCATACAATATAAAATATATGTATAACACATAATAATATAATTATATATTAATTATATATTTAATATATAAATAGGATATATAAAAATATAAAAATATATATAGGATAATATAATATATAAAAATATATATTAATATATTAACATATATTGAGATATATTTTTAAAGTTATAAAAAATCAAAAAGTTTAAAGAATAAATCATTTATGCAAATATAACTTTTTTTTATTTTATAAACGCAGAATGAATGACGTAGATCATTATAAAAATAAGATTACAAAATATAATGTTTTACTTAAATGCACTATTGTGCAATACAACAATAATAATCTAATATGATTTAATTATTACAAAATTCGTATCGAGTCAGCAACTATTACAAACGCATTCACACATTTTTTCTTTCTTTTTTTTTTTTTTTCTTTTTTTTTTTTCTTTTTTTCATTTAGTAATTAATGGACTATCTTTCATACTTCGTTCGTTAAGAAATTATTATCAACTTATCAAAATATCAACTTACAAACACATTTTTTTTTTCTTAATATCCAAATATTTGTTTTTTTGGACATAACAAGATTTAAATTTTTAATATGGCTGAATTTTTTATTCACAGCACAGTTATATATTTTTCTTAACCCTTAACAAAAATATTTTCAAATTTAAATTTTCATTTTTTAAGATAGATTGGCACTTTTCTTTTAATTTCTATTTTATTTTTATATGTGTACTATATTCAAATTTAAACAAAATTGAAATAATCGATGAAAAATCATATAATCATATAATAAATAATAAATTTTTATTTTTTTATAAGTTTTTAAAAAGAACTAAAAATAAAAATACAAAAAAAAATATTTACGAATATAAGTTCTATTAATAATTTGTAATTAAATATAGTGAAAATAATAGAAATTATTGTATTTAGAACTTATTTTTTTCGTTAAGGGTTGAGATTTTTTTCTTGTTGTAAATAAAGAAACAGAGAGCTAAATTCATATCTTATTAATCCCGGTCTCCAATATAGAACTGGAGAAATTTTATATCTCGGGAATATAAAACATTGTGTAAAATCATTTTACTTTTTAACAGTTTTTACACACAATATCATGTTACAATATATATGATACATATATTTCTGTCCGAACTATTTAGAACAATTTTTAGTTCTAATAATCTTCGCGTTCGCGGAAGAATATTCAGGCCTATGTGTAAGATCATAATTTGTATTGTAAAAATAAGAACAAAGAGAAAAATAAGAAATAAAGGAAATAACAACATGAAGAATATATACCTTTAAAAGATGTTTCAGACGTTTCGTTTATGTTTTTGAGTCGAACGAAGCTGTACATGAAAAATTATGTAGAATTATGGTGAATTCAAACTTTTGCCTGCCAATGCAGCTGCCTTGGAAAGTACTATTTGAATATCCATTGAAGGAAAATTCTGAAATAAAAATATGATTTTGTGACATCATAACAAAAAATTTTTAGTTACTTTTACTTACTTGTAAAAGTTTAACATTTGTAGCGAAATCACCAGCAAGTAATTGGTCCCTTAAGAGTCTGAAAAGTTTAATATAATTAAATTATAAATTATATTTATATATATTACTTATTTAGTATAATAAGTAATATTTACAAAATCATGGCACAACAAATATGTATCAAAAAGCTGAATCTGTTTTCATCAGCAAAAAGAGAATCCCAAATCCTCATAACATCAGGTAATGGAAATTCTTGTGATAGAAGAAGTGTTAACCATCTAAAAATATTTTTATTTATATAAATATTAATCTCTTTTTCATAAAAAAATAATATTAATTAACTTAATTTACCTAAAACTATAATATTGTGGACATAATTCTTGTTGATGTAAACGCATCCAAATTTCAGGGTCATTAGCTTTAACTTGAGCTGTAAGTTTACTCATCATCGAATTTATTCCAAATTCGGCTTCATCTAACGATTTTATGAAAAAATCACGAATTTCACTCATCAAATTCGTAAAGCAAAAAAAAGTATCTGCTTCTGCATGTTCTACAAAAAATATTTATATAATAAAATATTTATAAAATAATTAAAATTTAATATAAACATTCTAAAAATATATTTTTCTATAAAAAATATTTACCTCTCCATTTTTGATCTGGATCACAAGCAAATGCATGATAAATAGGACCAACAATTTCATTCATGCCTTGCACATAGCCCTGTCCTGGATTTAATTTAGCATAAAGAAAAAGTATTCTTTCTAAAACTTCCCAATGTGCTTCACCACCTTCTGCAAGTGGTGCATAATCTTCTGCAGCTTTTCTGATAGAAACTGCTATCTAAAGATAAACATAAAAAAATTGCTTGATTATACTAATCTAAGATAACAAGTTGAAATAGTTAAACGACGTTACCTGCTACTTTCCATCAGCATAAGAATGTAAAAATATAAGAATATTAGTATCATCCATTATTTATTATCAATTATAATTACCTTAGTGACACCAAGTCCCTTTCTTTCAACATTTGCACTTCTTAAAACTGTATGTTGTACTCTAGAATGTAAACGTTTTTGTCCACTAGCATTTACAATCTCTTCTCGAGGATAATCTGTACCTTGTTGAAAAAATGATATGTCTGGGCATAATCTCCTATAAATATAATTTATTTCAAATTCCTAAAAAAAGGAAATTATTATTGAATATAATAATAAATTTACCTAACATCTTTGTCTATTTGTAGAAGAACTTCATTATCCTTAAAATAGGTTTGCCATTTACTATCAGGATTTAAATTTAAAGGATGATCATGAAGTGTAACATCTACACGTTCACCATCACTATTTGCTTCACCTGGAGTGACAATGAGATCCTCTGTAAATCATTTTTATTAATAATTAATTTTTTAGTTACATTCCTTATAGTTCTGAATAAACTAAACTGTACCAATAAAGGTTTTATAAAGTGTTCTTTTACGTGTAAGTGTTTCTGACCAACTGAGTCTTGTTGAAGGTAAATAATTTAATAAAAGTTTCCAACATAAAGGTCTTAAACCTCCTTCATCTGGTATTCCTATAAATAATTATCATTTATCAAATAATCTATTAATTGATAATAAGATACAATGTAAAATAAAAAGAAAAGAATAGAAATTTTAACTCTTATAATTTTATAATATTTAGAATAACAGAAATTATATAGTTGATACAGCAAACAAAGAAAATTAATATATATATATATGTATATATATGTATACATATATATAAGATACATACCATGGAAGCATAGTCGTTTGAGACTGATGAGATCTATTTCTTCAGCATTCAAAATATCATCAAATTCATTTAATCTAAAGAAAGAAAAAAAAAGAAAATTTTTCAACTGAAAATTTTTAAATTAACTAATTCTTATTATATTATTACCTTCTTCTCAAAATACTCATCGTGGATGATATACGGCACATGCAGTAGAACTTAACAAGAAATTCAGTACGTTCTTATCGGCTTTCAATAAGCATGTGGGCGTACAATGATATCCACTTCTCACATTATTGTCAGTGTTCTGCCAGATTGACAAGCGAACTAACAGCCATTTTACTCTTTTGCACGATCAACCGTTTGTTTACATTAAATAATAATTCAAGAGTCTTATATCAGGGTGTGGAGAAATCGTTCTTATCATTGCAATATGGCACTTTATTCTCATGACTATAAGCACGAGAACTATAGTTTCTGCATGTTAATTTGACTCTAACCTAACCTATTTATGTACAGCTGTCTTTCACAACAATTCGGATGAGAACAAATTTTTCTCTTGCTATTGATTTAATTTACATTTCGTGACATTATATGACATAGAAAATAATAAAATGTGATATTAAATTATAAAAAATTTTATGAAGTCAAATTATTGTAGTTATAATTGAAAACTCATATACATATATAAATCCATAAATTGAAAAAAAAATTAGGAAAATATGAAATATAAAAGTATTTAAAGGTATTAAAAAATAAACACAATATTGAATTCTTATTTTTAATTTTATATTTTCATGTTCATAATTATTATGATACTATATTTAAAATTTTGTATCATTAATTCTTATTACAGTTATAATTTTAAATAAAATATCATATCAAATATCAAATTAGTGGAATTATTTAAAAATATGATTATCTAATTACTTTGAAAATTAAGAATTAAGAAAAAAAAATTGTCTTTACAATTGAAAAAAAAGATAAAAGAAGTGAAAAGATAGATAAAGAATTTTTAAAGATTGAAAAATTTGAAGGGAATTTCTAAGGATAAGAAAGACAGAAGACAGGCTAACATTGTTTATTACTTTTTGTATTCAAGGTATCTCGAATGAATTATTACAAGCAATAATATAATCAAAGGTAATGAATAAAAAGCGATGAAACTAAACATCAGACATTACATTTCATTCGTTATTGGTCACATTATTTCATTCTCGATTTTATTCGCATTTTTACGGTTCTTTTTTCTTTCTCTCTTTCTTTCTTTTACACACACACTTTCTCTCACATACACACATTTCTTTCTCTCTCTTTCTCTTTCTCTCCATTAATAATTTGTACTTCTCTATTGGCGCAATCCTTTGCCTCTCTAGTTTCTAAGAAACCGGTTGGATTGCTTCACCAACGTCGACAGATTTGCGAGGTTTTACTATACGTTATCTTTACGACGAGATAATAATATCCATGAAACGATGCAACTCGATTCATATGGATTACAGTCTTCGACATCATTCGATAAACAAATTTTATGAAATAAAAACAGCAGAAAAAAAACAAGAATTACGATACTATTGTATCGTGAATTAATCGTAACAAAATTTCCTGTTTGAATAATTCAAATAGAAATGAATTTGAATTATAATTTCGTGTTAAAATTATTTTTCTTATAATAATACATAGTAAGTATCTGGTATTACTTACAGTATACATATCTGATATTATTTATATATATATATATATTTTTTTTTTTTTTTTGCATACAAGGAAAAGGATAAATCGAACAAAAAATAAATCGAGTCGCATCATTACATTATCAACGACAAATTTAATTGATTGTCGTTGATATTACCGCGCTCGATTCAATAAAATCTGGTTGATTAACAGTAAAATGAACATTTAGTCGTAATAATTCTCTCTTTTTTTTCTTTTTAACCTGTTAATGATTATACATCTAGTTAGTCTTTCTAAATGGTTATTTGGGAATATACAAAGAATGTAGAAAAAGAAGGAAAACTAAAACATTTCTCTTCCTATGAATTAAAATGCTTCGCTTTCATAAATCTAAACGTATTTCCTGTAATAGCTAGAATCGCACAATGACGATTTTAAGACGTATCTTCACAGGGAAGCGATAAAGTTCAATGCGTGGATATAACCAGTGCAGTTACATAAGAAGGATTCGAGATGAAGGGAAACGAGGATCGTTTTCCTGACTCTGTTTCTTTTATCGAGTTGTTGAATTTCTTTGTTTTTTCATATATTATCTCAATTACATATTATCTCTCCTTCAAAAAAAAAAAAAAAATAGAAAAAAAAATACTAATACCAAGGAGAACAAGATAAAAATCATATAAATGAAATTCTGCTTTATATTTTATATTCGAAATTTTTAAATGAAATCAAAACATTAAAAAAAATATTTTTGAATACTTTTCTACGTAAAATTTTGTATAAGTTATTTTTTAATTAATTAAATTAGAAAATAGATTAAATAAATTAGAATTTAACAAAACAGAAATTAATTAAAAATTAATATATTACTATTTTTAAAACTTTTAATTTAAATTGATTTATTGAAAACTTAAAGCAAATATTTCTGATAGTAGTGAGTCAAAAAATGAAGAGGGTCAAGCCTCGTGGCCCTTTAAATATGATAGGTAAAATATTATACAGACTTGATAGGCACGTCTTAAAATTGCCAATAGAATAGATGGATATCGCTCGATTAATATTTCCGTACTTTTAATTGTAATGTAATCGTTACAATGTTCGTACAACAATAAAGCAATATGCAAATATTATGAAGACTTTTTTTCTCGAAGTTAACTGCTCGTGTGGCGCGTTCCGTGCATCGCGCAAGTGGAATTAATTACCATTAGGTATAACAATAAAACATTGCACTTTTTCACCTGTTTCCGTATATTTCTCTGTTTTCCTCTCATTTCGTATTTTTCACATATTTCGTTCATTTTTATCGCGATTCATATTCTTTTTTTTCGTACGTGTTCCACGATTCGAAAACGACACGAGGGAAACCGAAGTACAGATGATTCGACGATTTCTTCCATATCTTTTTATTTTTTTTTTTTTTTTCATTTTATCTTTCTTCTTAATTCTTTTTATTGCTGATCGTCGCGGTGCAACGTTTCATCGCTGTTTATATAATAATATACGCTATTTAATGTAATAAATTATCTTTTATATAGTAGAATAATATATTATCCGACAAGATAATATATTATTTTCGAATAATTATTTTCTTGAAACGCGTGCTTGTAGCGTGTAAGGATCTGCATGTCTACAAACACGCGTCCTATAGTCAAGTCGTTTTTCTCGCGAGTTTATCTCCTATTTCTATTTCTTTTTTTTTTCTTTTTCTTTTTTTTTTTTTTTACTTAACATTTTTTCTTCCTCTCTCGTTTTTTTTTTTTAACCCTATACTTTTCCCTCTACGCTTACACTAACAGAAATGTCTGGAACGTTTCTTAGCGGATCTTTGGAAATAACCGGACTTCGAATCCGTTGCATTTGCACGAAACATCCGGTCCAAGCTTCTTCTGACGTTTTTCTATTTGTCGATATAGTAACGAAATACAGCTTAACTCTATCGATCGACTCGAACGAACGGGAAATCGTCGGATGTGACTTGAGAATTCATCGCCGCCATCTTGTTCTCCACATTGCAGAAGTTTATTTTATGCCTTAATTGGCTAAATTTGTTTCAATTTCAATATTATCTCTCTATATTATCTTTTATTTTTTTATCTCTTTACCTATGACGTTAGATTCTCCTTTCATAATTCATTAATAATCAAACGAATTAATTAATTTAAACCTAAAAGAGTTAAGTCTATTTTCCATGGTTCGTTCGAATCGTTTCAGTGCAGTCGTGTGTTTCATTTATTTATTTTTTTAAGTTTTATTTTTTCCTCCTTAATTAATTATTACGACGCGCGACGCTTAGAATATATCGTTTCCGTTTACTCTATCCCTTTTTCTTCCTTCTCTCCTTTCTTACTTTTCATACACATTTTTCACTCACAGAATGCACACGTATACATACACACGCTTTCACATTACATATGTATATCCTTCCATCCATTCTTTTCTCATATTTCTTTATTCATATTCATACCATGTATTCCTATCTATGTTCACGTTCGTTCTTCTATTATTTTTCTCTCATCTATTAAAAGAAGGAACGCGGATAACTTCTGGTTTCCAAAAACCTTCGATTTTTTTTTGTTCTTTTTTTTGTTTTTTTTTTTTGTTTTCTTTTTACGTCGAATTAATAATCTCGACGATCTTTTCTTTAATATTTTTGATGACCGAAATAAATCTTCTCGTTGGAAGTTGTTACCACGATTTTAAAGAAACAGATGTATATTGTGTATGTGTGCCAAACGAAGCGTGCTACTCTTTAATCCTTACAGAATGTCGCGATATTTATTAAATATGATCAATAAATTATGTGATGATAAAACAAAAAAATATAACTACAGAAAATTTCAGAAAGAAGCACTTTTACCAATTTTAAATTACGAAATTTCAATTACATTTCGTAATTCTTCGTGTTTCGATTATTTTCTTGTTTCGTTTAATTTGAAGAGATGCGTTGATTAGAAATTTAAGAAAAGTATGTTTAAATGTTGATGAAAAAAGAAAAAATTGTTCAGAAAAACAGATGAAATTTAAAACTCATTTCGTTATTCCCTCCTTGCTAATTCGAACATCGTAGATTTCAAAATATCGTAAGTTTAAAACCTTACATTCTCATTTTTCTTTTTCTCTAACTACGAGCAGCTTAAGATATCCATGTTCTCAACATCGCTTTTATTTTAAATTCATTTTTAAATTTCTTCAAATTTCCTGCCTGTCTTTTCACCCTCGATTCTTTTGTCGATTTATCGAAAAATTTTTTCGAATTCATTCGAAGAAACTATATTTTCTCTCCGCTTTTTTAATTTAATTTTAATTTAATTTTAATTTAACCGCGTTGTTTATCCGTGAAATTTTCATGATTCTTGTTACGTGGCATCGAAATAAAAAATAATTATCACCTATTCTAAATATTGATATTTTTCATAGAAAAAAAAATTTTTCTCTCATAAAAGTCGGACTTACTTTTCTGGATAAATAATTTCTATTTATTCAGAACATCTGTTCTTCATTGAACCAATGATTCAAATTTAATGCGCTTTCCTCAAGCAATAAAATTTAATTGGACGCAAGTACACGAAAGAACGAAAGTTAATAAAGCTATAATGCACGACAATGTACGACATTTTTATGTTATTCGTATAAATCTAGATATATAAATAAATAATAAATTAAAACGAGTAAATGACTTCATAATCGTAATCGAAATATTACATTACAAAGAATTTCGTTATTCTTTTCTTTCTTCCCACCGCTCTTTAATTCTCCCTTCCTTTTTTTTTTTTCTTCTTTTTTTCCTTTTTAATCCTCGTCTCTTTGCGAATTTTAATTAAGGCGAGATTACGTGCTTCGGATTCAATCTGT